ACATCTATCGTCCCGACTACGATATAAATCACAAAATTTTAACATTTTCTGTAAATTCTGTGAATCTCAGGCGACTTGCGTGAAGTGTTTACAGCTGGACGCCGTGTACCTGGAGTCGAGTGTTTTAACAGATGCATAAAACGACACATTTTTAGTCATAAGTTGTAATGGCTGCTGTTTTCTTTGTGAGTATTTATTACACGGCGTGCTGCGGTGAAAAGCCTGTTTTAAGGTTTATTTTTTAGCTTCTGACAGCTCTTTTTAGCTTCTCATCCGTAAACACTGCAAACTATTTCATGTGATTCAGTTTATTTTGAAAAGTCTCAACAGGATCTTGAGCTTTCTTGTGAAAGGTTTGTATGGAAAATAAACAAGCTGACACGCGATGGTTTTACCGTCGTTGTTGCTACGACAACGTGTAAAAACGTGCTCTTTTCCGTCTGTAGTGTGGTTATATTAAACATAAGAGAAAGAGAGAACTTTGAGAAATGAATATAGCCACTGCAGTGACACAAAACGTTGAAAAAATATTGCCTTAAACTTTTTATTTTGTGACACCACGAAATAAATGATAGCGTAAAATGAAACGATAGATGTTTTTACAGTGTTTTTTTTAATGTAAATGTTATTTTTACAATGTTTGCAGGTTTTTTTTAAAGCTAAAACATTTCCTTTCCAGGTAAAATGTGAGCAGTATTGGAGTTCTGGTACCAAGCGGTGTGACAACATCATTGTAAAAGCAACCTCTGAAATAACACTTGAGGACTGGACCCTCAGGGACTTTGACATTAAAAATGTGAGTGGTTTTCACATTGGTTTCAATATTGTTTTGTCTATATAGTGTCAGTGCTAAAGATAAATATACTACAATAATGAAAGAAAGCCCAACAATTACACGACCCCCTATCACCAAGCATTTGGTAACAATGGGAAGGAAGCATACTTCATACAGCATATATCCATATTTGTAAATTATTTTTGTAATAAATATTTATAATTTTTCCGAAGTATTTTTAGGAAAGCGAGAAACCTTTTTATTGGAAAACCCTATGGTCCCTGAATATTTAACATGGTTTACAGTAGGCGTCCTGCAACCAAAATAGACTACCTATTAAACTTTCCAATGTCTTAACAAATCTATGGTAATAACAAGGTCAGTGTTGACTGAAGTTCTCTCTGTTTACATCTATATAACTAATACTTTGTATCTTTGTCGTAAAAAGGCACTTTTGCTTTTGCTTTAAAACATAAATCCTTGCAACACATTTTTGTGATGTTGTCCAGTTACCGTATGAGGTATGTGGTAGTGATGTATCAGTCGAGTATGAATCGGGTCTTAGAGCCGGCTCTTTGAAGTGAACGATGGGAGCCGGCTCCTTATCGCGAGCCGTGTTATTTATTTATTCATTTTTTTTCCTTTCTCTTACCCTCCCTCTCTCTTACCGAGCCCTGCGAGGGACATGGGAGAAAAAAATTAAGATGAACTCGCAAAACTTCAAACTGGTGCAAGAATGTCTCGAAAAAGTCGGAGCACTTTTGCCAATATGTGATGTCTTGATAAACCGAGCAGATATTTGAAGTTTACACAACTACGTTCTTGCCTTATCTTAAGTTTATTTTGTGAGCCAGAAAGTAATATTAAAACTAAGTAGCTATCGCCAAAGTTGGAAACTGGAATTGGCCCAGCCTATCCCATAATTCATAGCGCGGCCCAGCCAATTCCAGTTTCCAGCAATTGCGGCATCTTCTATATATTTATTGTGTTGTGGTTTGAAGTGTTTTGTGTTTTTTCACTTTAAATTTGTTGAAACAGAAAAAGCTGAAAATTTAAATAGTTAAAAGTTGAATTGTAAATAGTTGTTTTTTGTAATATGTTTATATGTTTTAAAATTTATTTTTTACATTTTATGTGAAGTGAATAAATAAAAGCATATTTATATAATAAACATGTATAAATAAAAACCCCCACTATTTTTTACATTAGTAATTCATTTTGTGCATAACTTTATATTGTTATTGATAATAAATTAATTAAAGCAACAAAACAACCTAAAGAGCCGCTTGGGAGCCGAAAGAGCCAGCTGTTTGTAGTGGGCCGAGCTGAAAGAGCCAGTTCTCTAAAAAGAGCTGGAATTCTCATCACTAGTATGTGTTATTGTGTCTTGAGGATCTTCAGCTGTTTTGAGGTGCTTCGCTGTTTTGTCCTTCAGGTGAAAACAGCAGAAACCCGAGCAGTTCGTCACTTCCACTTCACAGCATGGCCAGATCACGGGGTACCAGAAACCACAGAGCTCCTCATCAGCTTCAGACATTTAGTCAGAGAGCACATGAACCAGTACTCAAAACACTCGCCCACAGTGGTCCACTGCAGGTTTGACAGAGCACACATGCAAATACACTCACAACTTTGTATTTATCCAGTGTGACGTGTTTTCAAAAATATATATATATATATTTATATATCTGTGTTTCTATGTTCTTTATGATTAGTGCTGGTGTGGGGCGCACAGGTACCTTTATAGCCATAGACAGACTGATTTTCCAGATTGAAAGAGAAAATACAGTGGATGTGTTCGGCATTGTTCATGATCTGCGCATGCACCGACCGCTTATGGTGCAGACAGAGGTAGGAATGTTCACATTCACTGTAGTGTGTTGTTTGACGTGATGAGTGATATGCCATATCTCAATGAACTTTTGCATTTGACATATGTGCAGGACCAGTATGTGTTCTTAAACCAGTGTGCTTTGGACATCATCCGGTCGAGAACGGGGACCAATGTGGATCTAATCTACCAAAACACCGCGGCAATTTATGAAAATATAGGCCCAAAAAAGGGGGCTCCCAAAAACGGATACCACAACTCATAGGCCCAGAAGTCCATCAGTTCTTCCATCTCTCTTCACTTTTAGAAAGAAACTGAGCAAATATCTGTGAAGGAGAGGCTGTGAGCACATTTTCCTGGATTTATTTTTATACCTTTTAGGCTTTTGATAACAGTCATCTAGCTTCCTGGATTCAAACTCAGATTATTTGATATTTATTTGTTACGATTTATGAATGTTGACAGTGGACGAAACTGTACGTAGAGCTGCAATAATGGATTATGTGTCTTGGACACTTTGCTATAATTGTATATTTTTGTATTGCTCAGATGTTTTATAAATGCTTCTTAATACTGTATATGACTCACTGATAATTAGATCTTTTTGCTCAGGTAGTGTGATGGATGCTGTACAGGTATTTTTGATCAGGAAAAACTTATAATAACCTTTGCCTTGTATAAAACAAATGCTGTTATGAAGACAGTGTGCCTTTTAAAGAGTTTTTCCACCAGTTCACCAATAGGTGGCACTCTTATGTCTTCAAATGGAAAAGACAGACATCTGAAATTCAGCTGTCTGTTTGTGCATATTTTAAGCCAACATGAACTCTGCAATGTGTTTAAATGAAGGAGCCTTTTGCACATGTATGCACTGTATTGTGAATAATGCACTGGATGCATTTGTCTTCTACACTGTCTACTATGGAGATGTTTTTTCAGTAGCATTAATATTTTGGCCAGTGCTTTGTAGACTGTTTGGATTATTTCTTTATACATACAATACTTTTATTACAATTTTATTTTTGCAATTTTACTTGCCTCAATAAAAAGCTCAGGAACTCAATTAAACTAAACATGTTCCTAGCATCTATGGTGTTTGTACTTTGACGAACTTAGTCCATTTTTTTCCTTATTTTCTACGTTGTGCATTCCTCACAGAAACTGTAATGTTATGTCACTTCCTGCTACATATCCGATCCTTGTATGGAAATACTGTGATGTTAAAATGGCCAGAGAAGTGCAGGCTTAAAGGGCAGGATTTTCCATGAGGCAGATACTTTACTTTTTTAAAGATAATTCAATAAAAGAGTACGCCTGTAGATATTTTTTAAAACGTATTTTTATTGTATCATAGTGTATTTAAAGCTATTTTAAGCATTTGGGTTTTAAATGAAAAATATGTATAATAATTACTAAGGTTTTAGGATATTTTTTAATGATGCTTGATGGTACAATGTGAAAATATATATAGAAAAAGGCAAGGATTCAAATTTTGTATACATTTTAACCTGTCATATGAAATGGGATTATATATATTACAAATTCTGGAAAATAGGGGCGTAATACTCCTCTTATTGTTTAAATCCCTCAGCTTCAATATGATTAAAGATTCATATGCTTGCTTTAATGTTACCTCTGGACAATTGTGAGTTTGGATCTATTTACAAAGCTCATCACTCAGAAAATAAACAAACTGCACACTGTGTCACAGCTACTGCAGCATGTCTGATAAACTCATTATGTATATAGTTTCCAAATTGTTTGAGTCAAATGGAAGGATCAAAAGGACCAACACAATACATGACTGCATGCTACAGAGCAGGATTGAGGTGTTACACCTTTGAATTATTCAATTTGAGGTTGCAGGTAGATAAGTGCACCCTCAACGGATGAATAAATAATACCATGTCTGTTTCTTACTTTGTAAGGAAAAAGCTTTTCACAAGGAGACTTTGACAGTTTTACAGCTCAGCACATCAGGCCTTCTGTTGCAAGACTTTGTACAGTATTGAGGTGGTTTAAAAGACCACTTTTTGTACACAGCATTGTTTTTCTACAAATGTAAGATTTTTTCAGCATGTCAGCTTAAATAGGCCTGCAGTTTCTCAGGCTTCTACTTTTTTCTCCCCCACTTCCCGACATAATTTCTGTCTCATGCCTCTCAGGTCCATAAGTTCGATTTTTAAAAAGTAGATCTGGCATTTGAATGCCCCATTTTGAACATAAATCCTGACCTGCAATTGGAAAATTAAAATAGAACAAAAGATAACTGGGTGATCCAAATTTAATAATGACCTCAAATGCTTATATGCCACAAATCCACCATAATGGATTACACTAGGATGTTTTTTCTAACCTTCTCTGAAATTGAATATAAAACAACAGTAAAGAGAAAATGAAATATTTGTCATCTGATCTAGGCAAAGGTACTAGACCACTCTTTTTCACTACAGTTTAAATATGGCCATTTCTATGTAAATATGGACCTAAAGAGTTAGGTCCATATATATATTTGGACATAAGTTCTGCTTTTTACCTGTTTACTAAGACATTTTCCAAATATAGTTAATGGACATGGACATAATGTGCAGACTCCCAGCTTTCATCCACATTGATATTGGATGAAGGGTTTAGGAGTTAATTTGAGGTGTGGTGCTTGCATTTTGGAAGATTTTGCTGTGAACAGATAACATGCAGTTAAAGGAGCTCTCAGTGCAGGTGAAACAAGCCATCCTTAAAATGCAAAAATAGAAAAGAAAAACATCCAAGAAATATTATGAGTGGAAAAATGTAGAGTTTGGTACATTCTGAGAAAGAAAGGAAGCACTGGTGAACCAAGCAACACGAAAAGACCTGGATGTCTATGGAAGACAGCAGTGGTGGATGATGGCAAAATCATTTCCTTGGTCAAGAGAAATCCCTTCACAACCAAGTGGCCAATCAATATCCAAGTCTAACATAAAGAGAAGACTGCAAGAAAGTAAATCCAGAGATCCACTGCAATTGCAAGCCACACATAAGTCTCAAGAATAGAAAGCCTAGGTTGGACTAGGCTAGATTTGCAGAGGCAGTGTGAGGGCTTGGGTGTGCACGGCTGCCAGTGGCACTGGGACGCTAGTGTTCATTGATGATGTGACACAGGACAGAAGCAGCTGAATGAATTCTGAGGTGTTCAGAGACATGCTGTCTGTTCAAATCCAGTTAAATGCAATCAGATTGATTCGGTGGTGTTTCATAATGCAGATGGACAATGACCCAAAACATACAGCAACCCTAGAGTTTGCTAAAGCAAAGAAGTGGAATATTCATGAATGGCCAAGTCAGTCATCTGATCTTAACCCAATTGAGCATGCATTTCACTTGTTGAAGACTAAACGTCAGACAGAAAGGCCCACAAACAAAAACCAGCTGAAAGCTGCAGCAGTAAAGGCCTGGCAGAGCATTAAAAAGAAGGAAACCCAGCATCTGGTGATTTCCATGAGTTCAAGACTTCAGGCTGTCAATACCAGCAAAGGGCTTTCGAGTATTAGAAATGAAATTTTTATTCTTAGTCTTTTAATTTCTCGATTTCACTTTTGAAACCCTAAAACTAAGGGATTGCGTTAAAAAAATTCCTCACACTTTTATGCAATGTTTTTATTCAACCCAAAAAATTAAAGTTGAAAGTCTGCACTTAAGGTGCATTTGAGTTGTTTCATTTGAATTTCATTCTGGGAAATCTGTCCAAATATATATGGACCTAACTGTATGTGCAAATATGAATTATACATTTATAATAAAAAAATTGTGTGAAAATGTTTGCTCTTATAATTTTTCTGCCAAGCTATATGAACACTTCACTGAGTCTGAGAGTCTTTATCTTTACTATCTACATTTATCTAATATGAATATTTAATGCTAAAATTCTCTCTGCAACATCTTGATGAACTGAGACTCTAGATTTGAGATTGAACCAGATTAGCATGTATAGATCTTATACTTTATTTTTTCTAATTTCATTTAGATTTTTATTTATAAAAAAATATGCCCAATATGTGATCTGGATGAACTTCAAATGCCCACCTCTGGGACATGAAATTAGCTACACATCAACCCCGCAAAAGTAAAAGTCTTCAGCTGTCATTTTATTACAACAAAATTACATACACTGGCAGGGAACAGTGTGCTGCCTAAAGAGTATCTGATATTGCATGTAAATTTATTTTATGATCTTTATTTTCTACATGGAGTATGTTTACATTATGTAATACACTTCATTAAAAACTCACATTGCGTAATACATAATGTATATGTCAGTAGGAAATTCCCACTTATGAAGTTTTGTTTGTCCGTTTTGACTGGTCCCAGTTTGTGTACAAGCGTTTTCGACGATAGTAAATGTAAGCAGACGTGAAACTGAATCTGAAGCGGAAATGTGTGCCGGTGTTTATCTTGTAGGTCACATACAGCTGGTGTTGTACGCTGCTACGGCCACAGGTGGCGCCATAGCTCCCTGTGTGTGACGGGCAGCAGATGATCCGCAGAAGGATCCAGTCCACTCCGCACTCTCCATGTTGAGAGGAACCGAGCAACTTGTTCTCCAACCGTCCGTCACAGCCCACCTACTGCCCCCCTAAACCACCCAGCTGTCTCCATACAGCCCCGTGCTATGACGCTGGACTGGAAAAGAAGCTTAGGAGCAAGTGCATGATCGTTTCCCTGATCGACAAAGAGTGAGTTTCTGTTACTACAGCACACCGCTAAGCGCAACTTGCTATTTTTAGTCAACGTTACTTGTATCTATACAACTAACCCATGTTTTATGAGCTAACTGCTAGTTAGCTCTGATAGCGCTGAATAACAAAATGAGGGAAAAAATTGCGCGTTTCGTGGCATCCACGCTGTAATTTTAGTCTTCTCATCGTCGCAGCATATGAAGGAATTCGTTCAGTGGTTATAGTAACGTCATTCTGAGTGTTTGGTTTGCCGTCTCGTTGGGTAGCAGCTAACCTTACTAGCTTGTTGCCTCAAGTAAACCCCTCATCGCCACGTTAGCGGAGCAGCCCGTGCCCCATGCGGCTGCAGCTTTGCTGTCACTCGTTTGCATAGCAACCACGATCCCCGCCGATGCCCAGGATGGCTGCAACAAGCGAGTGCACGTACCTGTATGTGCTGCTTTTATGTTAAATCAGTTACAGTGTTGCGTTCACTTGCTTTTGTTACAAACTGTAAATAAATGAAAAATGCATGTTATTGTGCTGTTAAGCACATGTGGCAGAGGATCATAGGAGTATTAACTGTAGTCATTAATCAAGCAGTCTGTAAAGTCTCTGTATCATCTATGTCCCACGTGGAATGCGACGTTTTGCTTTGACTTTACTGCAGAGTGCAGATAATTCAAAGCAGAGCGACGAGGCTGGCAGACATTTAAATGTCAAATATGTGCAGGACAGTCCAAGACCTCGCCAGCGTTGGCCGGCTGCACTGTTGCAAGTGTGATACCAAACGTGTAACCTTTTTCATGGGTTCACCAGGAACACATTGTAAAAGCCAGGTAGGGTTTTCTGCGAAGAACGCTTTGAAACTCACCTTAAATATTTTTTTAATCTAATGACACACGCCTCCTCCATATTAATTTGACAAGAAATTAAATGCTGTGATTGCCAAATTCGGGGTTGATAATAACAGATGTTTAGGTGCCCTACTTTCTGCAAGTTTAAAAAGTAATCCCAAGCAAAGCTGATAAAAAGCAACAGATAAATACTGGCCACTTACATTAGAAAATGACATCTTGTTTTCAGAAATCTATAAACAGGTGATTATCAGTATATGCATGAGCGCTTCCTTCATTGGTGCCAGTCTACATTCATTGACAAGTCAGATGCTGCAGCGCAGAAATGCCAAAACAGAGTGGTTTTTGGGGTCACTCAGAAACACAGACTTCATTACATAGCTTGTTTGTTTACAAGACCACGCTGAGAACGTTGCCAGCGCCGTCATGTAGTTCTCATTAAATTGTCTGAAGTGTCTGAAAGGAGTTCCTCCCACAGCAATATCAATAAAAAGTAATTAAAAAGATCCACATTGGCATTTGTGCACATGTTAGGGGTTTGTGAAAAAAGTGCAGCTTAAGAAACATCATGAGTTTCTTCAAGCTTTTTAAAAAAATAAGTGCGGGTCAAACGATACTCGTGGCATTTGATCTGGATGAGATGATGACTAACTGTGGAGGCTTTTCACTGCCACTTTGTCTCATCCATCTTTAATTGTGTGGTATTATGTCGAGTCTGGCTTTGCTTGTGATGAGAATAACACTGGAGTACTGGAGTGCACTTTAGTTAATAGTTAAAGGGTTTAGTGGAATGTTTCACCCTTGGTTGAAGTGAAAATAGATAATATGTGGGAAACTGCTGCAGAGCTTGACGAAGAGGCAGTTTTAAAATGTGTCACTTGTTCACACTCTCTACTTCTTTATTTGCTTTGTTGCTTCAGCCTTTCTGGGTCTGCACATTCACTGGACTCAGTCTTTTAAAGAGGGTTATATAGAATGATAAATGTCTAACGTGCACTGTCGTCATTCACCATCAGATAAAAAATTGATCTGATATTGAATTACTGCAGAATGTCCTACTATGAGTGGTGGAAATAGCTGAGATAGGACCATGGCAAGCATGAGAAGGTCATTAGTATTACGTGGGCAGTGGAATTAGGTCATGAAATCATTACTAACAG